AATAAGGATGTTTTTCTCAAGAATTCTGAGAGTTGTCTTGCAGAATTTCCCTCCATTTGGTTTGTTTCCTCTTGAATAGATTTAGGACAAACATTGTTGGCAGGAATATTGCATACGTGATATTGTTTTCTTCTCGATACATCACATCAGGAAATACCTTATGTCAGTCTATCCCATTGCTGAATCTGTTCATTTGGTTAAGGTGATATCTGCTAGATTTTCTCATTGTAAGGTTACCTTTCCCTCTTTGTAACTAATATAATCTGTGTGGAGATACTTGAGATTGTGTTGAATATCTTATTTTACTCAATGGTTGTAGGATCCATCAATGTTTCTTGCAAGAGTCAATTATTAATATGGTGGTTATAAAATGGTGACATTCTACTTCCATTATTCATTCTATATTTATTAGTTGGTTATTCTGTAAAGATCTTTGTTGTGCCATTTATTTAGAATTAGTATAGACTCATGAATTGTTTAATAATAACAGCCTTATTGAATGAAATATAATTCATATACCATACAATACAGCCATTTAAATTATACACACTTCAGTGCTTATTGGTATATTCATAGAAATGTGCAATCATCACCACGGTGAATTTTAGGATGTTTTCATCCCATGCCCTTTAGCTATCATCCCTCAACTTTGATCCCCACAAGGCCCTAAGTGATCACTTATGTACTTTCTGCCTCTATGCATTTGCCTATTCTGGACATTTCATAAAAACAGCATATAATATGTGGTCTTTTGTTGATTGGCTTCTTTCATGTAGCACAATGCTTTCAAGCTCTTCTACTTATGGCGGAATAAGTCCCATTGTATAGATAAATCAGATTTTGTTTACCTATTTATTAGTTGATGGACCCTTGAGATGTTTCCACTTTTGGGCCCTTGTGAATAATGCTGCTATAAAAAATTGTATGCAAACAGCCATGTAAATATACTTAACACTACTGAACTGTCCACTTAAAAATGGTTAAGGTATTACATTTTATGATAACATGTTTTTACCACAATAAAAAATTTATGGAATGTCCATATTTTAGAATACTAGCCATTTAATATTATATTTCAAAAACCTATATAACATAAAAGATGCTTATGATATAATCTTGAGTTAAAATGATATAAAAATCATACATTTTATTTCAAATATATAAAAATTACTAGAAATATTTGTAAAGATATTTTCTTGTTAGCAGGGATTATTATCTCATGATGGTAGGATTATGAAGAGACTATTTCTTTTTCTTTATAAATTTTTACAAAATCTATAAGATGAATATGCTTTATTTTTACAACCAATGAAGAAAAAAACTAGAAAGAAAAAAATCATACAAAAAGAGTTTGTTACCAGCAATCTTCTTGTAACACATATATTATCTCAAAAATCCTTTCAATTAAAGAAATAATAGGGTGAATAGGTGAAGGGCATTAAGGGGCATTAAGCTTCCAGTTATAAAATAAGTCATGAGGATGAAAAGTATGGCACAGGGAATATAGTCAATAATATTGTAATCATGTTTCAAGGTGACAGATATGGTGACTACACTTATTGTGGTGAGCATTGTGTGTGTGTGTGTGTGTGTGTATAATGCACATATATATAATGGAGAGTAGTTCAAGAGAATGGCGTTCTGTGGGTATTATTCTATATTGCACTTCAATGTTGGATCTATGTTGTTTTTATAAGATGTATATTTAGGGTTTTCCCTGTTTGTATCCAGTAAATAGGAAATTTTCCATGAGAAAAATGGGAGGAAATATAGTACGTAATTCCATTTCTTTTACACTGTAGGAATTCTTCTTGTTTTATGTTGATTTATGAACCAGGCTTGGTTAGGCCTGCCATTAAACAACTTTGTTTTAAAGGAAGGCGAGAGTATTGAAGGAAAAATGCAAATTTAGTAAGATCATGTTCCAGTTTAGACCAGAAATTCTAGTTCAGATTAATGTAAGTATATAAAATATGTTATTTCTGGTAAATTACGATTTAAAACTAGAGCTCAAAGGAAGCATAGCTCTTGATGTATAGGAGGTATCTAAATGTTATAATTATATAGCATATTTTTAGTGCTTCTTTTGTTAAGGTCAAAACAAAACCTGTTCAGCTTGCTCAGTCTTGATGAAAGGAATTACGTGGTGTCGAGATTGGCATTGAAGATACACCTGGTTTCCTCACTCTTAGTGTCTTTAACAGAAGTGTTTGAGGACTTTAGATGTGTGTGAGAATTTAGCATGAGTGAGATTTTAGCTGTGTGTGTGTGTGTGTGTGTGTGTGTGTGTGTGTGTGTAGAGGTGGGGTTGGGGGTGGGATAGGATGATTTATTTTCTATGCCAGGGGGTTTTGCAATTCTAGTTTAGTGTTGAAGCAAAGTGAGTTAGAGGAGAAGCAGGATTCATAGCAGTAGCTGTTGAAAATACCAGCACGTAACAGTGCATTTTTTTTACCATGTTACCTGTTCCTGTGTATTCATACTTTTTTCCCTATATATCCTAATATTCTTAATTTTTTGTCTTAGTTGCTTTATAGAGTTTTTCAAATTTATACTAATATCCACTAAATACTAATAATATTCTAGTACTGTACTCATAAAGCTAGGATTTAAAAATATGTGAATGAATATTAAAAATATTAAGGAAAACAGGAACATGTCTAGGAGAACTGTTAGGGACCTACAAAGTCAAGGCCTGAATACATCATATCTGACATTTTTGTTTGTTTGCTTGTCCCTCCCTCTTTTGAACTGGGATAAAGGAGATGATTTATTTTAAATACCCAACAGGTTTTTAAGCATATAGTTTAGAAGGAAATTAATGGAGGGAAACTGTCAGAGAACCAGGATGTCATCTATATCTAAGGGGTTATGAAATATGCTTACAGGTTCAGGCTGTAAGCTTGGGTGGCTCAGTCGATTAAGTGTCCGGCTTCAGCTCAGGTCGTGATCTCACTGTTGGGCTCGAGCCCTGCGTCAGCGCAGAGCCTGCTTGAGATCCTCTGTCTCCTTCTGTCTCTGCCCCTTCCCTGCTCACGCATGTGCTCTCTCTCTTTCTCTCTCAAAAATAAACATTAAAAAAAATCTGCTTACAGGTTAGTAGGCAGGAGGAGTCTTGGAGATAGTACACAAATTCCAAGTTGTTATGCATTATCAAAATGCATGAAACCTTCTAAAATGTGTGAAGGTAGTGGTAAACCACTAAGGTGTGGGTAGATGCTTTGGTATTTTTACCTCAAATGCAGGAAAAGCCATGCTTCCCTTGGTAACCATGGAATTTATCTTCTCAAATAGATTCTGATAGTAAGCCCAGAAAAAATTATAATTAAATAATAATTACTATTATTATAAATAATAATAACTGAGAACCATTTCTGCCTTGTTTCATTCTCTACTGTTTCCAAGAATTCTGAGTCACAAAATAAAATCTTAAGTTAGAAAATTTTCAAAAATAGAAATGGCTTCAGAGAGAGTTTTTTTTAAAGTTCAAAAGCATTTGGTTTATCAGTTGAAAACAGTCATTGGATTCCATTTTTGTTGTTGTTTTCTTCCATCAAACAAATCTGTCTCCTAGTGGTGTTAAGTCTTGTCTGTTCAACTGTACTTATAGTCTCCTTCCATGACTGGCATCATATTTTATTAATGGCAAACTTGCAAAGTAAGTTAAATGACTTGCCTAAATCTTTTTATGTTTATTTTTATTTTTGAGTAAGAAAGAGTGCAAGCTGGGAAGGGGTGGCGGGGCGGGGGGGTGGGGGTTGTGGACAGAGGATCCGAAGTGGGCTCTGCTCTAATAGCAGTGAGCCTGGAGGAGCCCAATGCAGGGCTCGATGTGGGGCTTGAACTTACGAACCATGAGATCATGACCTGTGCCAAAGTCGGACACTCAACCAGCTGAGCCACCCAAGTGCCCAACTTGCCTAGATCTTAAGGAAATCAGTAGGCTGTAGTCAGATGCTATACACAGTTGTTGGGGGTGGGGGAAAATTCCCCCTACTAATCTTGGTTTTTTGGGCTGGTCTAACAATTAAAATGACCCAAAATAGATTAATGGGAAGAAAAATTAATTTTGTACATATGGAGGTCTCATAGATATGGAACCTAAGAAATGACCAAAGCAGGCAGTTTATATACCTTTTAGAGAAAGAAACAATAAATTTGTGAAGAAATGACAAGACAAAGAACCTTAGTCTTGGCTACTAATTAGTGAAGAACTTAAGCAGAGTTTGTGTACATTGACTTCTAGGCCTTGAATTCTCTATCTCTGGTGATAAATGTTTTTTTTACCTCCTGGTACAGGAAGAGTACCTTTCACATGGGAAATTGACTTCCTGCTTCTGGGGGACAGAAAGGAGGGTCAGAATGTGCTTGCATTGGCTGTTTCTCAAGTAAACTTTAATTCAGAATTATCAGTGTGCTACTTTGATGTATTTGGGGGCAGCCTGCCACAATCCCCATCTAGTCTAATTCTCTATTTCCTAGAACTAGCTCCAAAAAAGAAGAAAAATATATTGATTTTTAGGTGGAATTTTGACTCTGGAAAGAGACCTGGATTAGAGTCTGTTTCTGCTGTTTAACCTTATGCATAGCCCTCTGTTTCTCCATGTTCAAAGTGTGAAGAATAATAGTGCCTACTTTGTAGGATTGTTTTGAGGAATAAATAAAATAATGCATGTCAGATACTTAGCACTGTGTCTGGGCTATAGTTAGTACCCAACATACGGTTTAAAAAAAAAATTCCTGCATGCATGTGAGTCTATGTTCTACATCTTTTTTTTTTTTTTTTTTTTTTCTTTTTACTCTTTGGGTACTTCAGTCTCCTGAGGTTTTCCATAGAATAAGTGTGGCAAGTCCTGCTGAAGCCAGTGTCAGGTAACATCTAGAAACTTTCCCTAAGGCAGAATCATTTGGCTGAAAATAGCCCAGGGAGAATACGAAATTGACATGTTTTTAACAGAATTTTCTCTTTACATGCTTTTTTTTTTCTCCTTTTTAAATAGTGCCTTTGAAGATGAGACAATGAAGCTTCGACAGCTGAAACTAGATAATCAGGTGAGCAAATCAGGAGTCTCCCTCCTGTTTTGAAATAAGTGGACAGCTATACTGACCATGATGATGATGCATCTGCTGATGCAGAGTCTTGAACTCTGAAGTCTTGGCAGGGTCATGGAAAGAAGACAGGAAAGGGAAAGGTTCTGATGTTGTAACTAAGAGTGCTGAACCAAGGCCCTGGGCTCTGGCAAGACCCAACTGCCTTCAGGAGCACAGTGATAAAACTTGCCTTGGATTTATAGTCACTGGAAATTCCTTGGCACCTTTCCTAAGAATTAGAAGAATGTTAACATTGCATTTCTGTATAGTAATTTGGTCCTGCTGCCTTTAATATGTCTCTACATTGTACTTTCATTGAACTACAAGAATGAACTACAATTTCACGGAATTTTATTCAATTTCATTGAACTACAATGTTTTTCTCATTCTCAAATACAGATCTGAGCATGCTGCTGTGCTTGCTTAAAACCCCGATTGCTTACAGCACAGTTTTCTTCACAGCACTGGTCCCAATGTCCAGTTACACATTCATTCTTTTCTTCAGTGATTTGATTTATGTTTGTTTCCTCCACTAGGCTAAGCTCCATGAGAATAGGAGTCAAGTCTGTTTATGATGACCAGAAGTTCCCAGCATAGGGCTGGGCACATAATAATCCTTCGTTAAATATTTGAAGGAAGGAAGGAATAAATGGACACTTGTGTGTCGTTATATGCTATGATCATCATTGTTAGTCAGCTTAGAACCTATGCCCAACATATTTTGCTTTCATTTGAGCATGTTTTCTAATTTAGGACATTCTATAGCTCTAGTCTTCCCATGTAGTGTCTAGACTCTAGGTGACTAAACATACCTCTAAAGTTTTGCCTATTTATGTTAATGTTGGAATTAATAATGGGACTTCTAGTGTAATAAGTTGCTTTAAAGGTGGACTCATTAAAAACTGGGGAAGAGGTCTCTTTGGGGCATGTGGGGATGTGCAGGCCTACTCTCCATAGGGCAAGGCCCCTGTGGGTTGGAACGCCATGCTGGCCCCAGGAACAGCACTGGTGCTTGTGCTCATGTGTGGCCACCCCTGAATGGCACCTTCTGAGTCTTTTATGGTGATGGCAGAAACTGTCATCACATTCCACTGACACTCAAGTCACCAAATGTTGGGGTCTAGTCTCCTCACGTGCAGCTGGAAGGGAAATGTTGCCCAGTGGTCTTCAGAGACCCCCTGTATGCAAGCCTGTGCCACCATAGGAGACATTTGGCTTCTAGGTGGCCGTGGTGGCCTCCATCATCAGCTGTGCCATCATCCTGCTTAGGCCCTAGCCCTCTTCACATGTTGCATCGTGAAGTAGGCAGAGAGGAGCAGCCACGGTTCTTGGACAGGGTGGCCCGGCTGTGGCTCCACCCATCTAGTTCTGTCACCTTCAAGGTCTAAATAGCAACAGAGGCCTGTCTGGGAGCCACCTGGCAAGGGCCCCAGAGGGCTGGCTGGCAGGGACAAGTACCACTGGGCCTAGTGCTCTGGGCCCCAGCTGTCCTGGGCTCTCCCTGCACCCAGGTGAACACACGACAGAGCTTGCCTGTCCCTGGGCCATTGTGGGAGTGCTTGTGCAGCCTGATATTCAGAGCCCACCCTCCACGTGGGGAGGGCCAAGTGAACCCCAACAGCCTGGCACCTGTATCTTGGCATGTGTCGGTGAAATCCACTTTGGGGCTTAGGGATCCCCAGGGCACGTGGGCTTGGAAGGCTGGGGACCCCAACATGAGTGACCTGTCCTGGGGGAGCCTGGCTGTAGCACTTTTTATAAGTAGGCTTCCTTGAAACCACTGCTGAGGTTAATATACCAGCTGTATCCTCCCTCCAACCTGCTTCCTTTAAAGAGACACAGGGACATCTTAAGCAAGTCTAGTTTTGCACAGCCAAGCAGGAAAATGGAAAAAAAACTTCTCAGCAATTACAGGTGGTTGTCTCAGCATTTTCTTTTGCGAGGCAGGCTGCCTCTAAACAGAGACCCATCTAGTGTTGTGCACACATCTGTAAAGTTGCCGGGTAAAGGGTGTGAAATAAACAATCCTTTCAAATACTGGGAAAACACAAACTAAAACTAGGAAGGAAACTAATCTAACTGGGATCATGGGGAAAATTCTGATTATATATATATATTTCTACTTATACTTACCTCCCCACCACACACAAAAGAGATTGAAATACTTGAGATGGGCCCTTTATTTTCTATATTCCATTGCGTAGCAAACTCTATTTAGGGAGATGTGCCCATAAAATTGTAGATCTTTGTTTGATTTATTTTTATAAGGCTAACTGGTACATACTGTGCTAGCATCTAAAATCTATGGTCATCTATGAAATAACATAGTAGATGTAAGTTTTTGAATTTTGAAGTTTTCGAATTTTGTATAGAGATATATTTTCTTTTATTTTAAAAATATGGATTCCGGTAATACAGAAAAGATATTTCATGAACAGTCTCTCCCTCTCTATATGGCTTAGTTCTTTACCAGAGGCTGTCACTAACTTCTAATGTATCTTTCCAGAGGTGGTCAATGAATATCAAGACATAAAATTTTGTAGGAGTATTTTAAAATTCAAAAAATGTCCAGGCCTGATGTACAAATGGTGTTAAATAGTGTGCGAGAATACTGTAAGGGGCCTGAAATGCTGCCTTGGGCATAAGAAGGAGGTTGCTCAGCAGGGGGCAAGGGAATTTCCACAAATGCAAACTGAGTGTTCAAATGGCCTGTAACAAAGGCAGCACTACAAAATGAGTAAAACATAGGGCTGGGAATCAGAAGCCTTTGGTTCTAGTTTTTAGTCTGCCATTAATTAGCTATGTGATCTTAGAGAAGATTCTTTTTAATACTTTTTTAGTGTTTATTTTTGAGAGAGAGAAAGAGAGAGACAGAGCATGAGCACGGGAGGGACAGAAAGAGGGAGACACAGAATCTGAAGCAGGCTCCAGGCTCTGAGCCGTCAGTACAGAGCTTGACACGGGGCTCAAACTCACGAACTGTGAGATCATGACCTGAGCTGAAGTCGGACCCTTAACCGACTGAGCCACCCAGGTGCTCCTGATTTTAGGTAAGATTCTTAAACTCTGGGGCCCACTATTTTATCTGTAGAGTGGGGTCAGACTGGATAACAGAATGTTAGATAGGATCTTAGACTAAGTTAGAGCTGAGATGGAAGTACATTGAGGAAGGCTAGGTTGCTGCTCGCTCTGGGCCTCACAGGCTGGTAGGATCTTGATGGCTCACAGTCCAGGGCCTGCCAACCTACCTGAGGTGTACCATGTGCTCCCATCCATGACAGTGGCTTACTGTGGCAGTGATTATCAGTGGAGGTGGGAGAGCCTAGGGAACCTTATTCTCCCCACACCTGCCTGAAGTATACAGTAGATTAACCTCTTAGGAGTCCTGCTTTGGGAATGTTCCCATGGTTGAGTCATTGGTCATGAATTTTGTAGGATGAGAGATAGTTTGATAAGAGCAGCCAGAGGTCATAAGTCTCATGAGGATTGGTTCATACTAACCAATTTCATAAGTGATGAACCTAAGCCAGGGGATTAATTTATTAATTTCTAATGAACTATATACCAGAATCAGCTGGTCATCACATTCCTATCTGCGGGAGGTTTGCAATTATTAAAGTGGCCTGGTAAGTTTGAAATCAGAGCAAGTGGAGTCTGTAAAATGATATCTACAGTAAACATCATTGTGTGAAGGTATAATTAATTCATCTCTACTAAAGGGATACACCTGCCAACAGAATGAGATATGTGAGTATCTGGCCAGGCCACTCGCTGCCTTGTATAGTACGAGAGATACAAGGTAACTCTTGCTCTAAGTTTTATCCTACCTTATTTCCACACTGACCATTTTCCTTCTCTTAACTCATTCTTTCATCATCCATGTTTCAGCAGTACTGAGCAGGTTTGCTTCTTTCATATCTGTCTTTTTTCCCTTATAGTATAATCTTAGTATTTAATGTTTGAAAATCCTAGATTCACAGATAATTTACACATGGCTGTTTTTGTCCTATATAGGTTTTTGGACAGCTTTATTGAGGTCTAATTCACACACGGTAAATATACACCCAGTTAAAGTGTACACATGAAGGTTGCCTGGGTGGCTCAGTTGATCATCTGGCTCTTGATCTTGGCTCAGGTCATGAGCTCACGGTTTGTGGGTTCAAGCCCCGTGTCGAGCTCTGTGCTGGTGGTATGGAGCTGCTTGGGTTCTCTTTCTCTCCTGCTCTCTCTGCCCTTCCCCCACTCACACACACCCTCTCTCTCTCAAAATAAATAAACTTTGAGAAAAAAGTGTACAAATGATTTTTAGACCTCATATAAAATGGAATCATATAATATGTAGTCATTTGTGTCTGGCCGCTTTACTTAGGAAAATGTTCATCCATGTTATCACATGTATCACTGCTGCAGTCCTTTTTATTGTTGAATAACATTCCTAGTTGTGGATACTCCACATGTCATTATGTATTCATCAGATGATGGACATTTGCATTATTTTCACTCTTGAACTATTACAAATAATGCTGCTCTGAACCTGTGTCTAAGTTTCTGTACAGACATACTTTCATCTCTCTTGTCTGATATACCTCAGGTAATAGGAGTGAGAGAATTCCTGGGTCATATGGTAACTCTGTTTAACATGTTAAGGAACTGCCAGACTGTCTTCAAAAGTCACTGAACCATTTTACACATTCCCACCAGCAATGTCTGGGGCCTCCAGCATCTCCACATCCTTGTCTCCTTGTCAGCACTTATTATTTTCTGTCTTTGATTACAGCCATTTGAGTTGCATTTCCCTAATGACTAATGATGTTGAGCATTAAAATGTACTTAGTGGCTCTTTGTATGTCCTCTTTGGAGACATGGAGAAATGGAGAAAACCCATTTTTAAATTGGGTTATTGTCTTTTTGTTGTTAAATTATAAGAGTTCTTTATATAGTCTAGATCCAAGTTCCTTATCAGAAGTATCATTTGTGAATACTTTCTGCAATTTTTACTTTCTTAATGGTATTGGTTTCAGCATAAAGTTTTCATTTATTTTTTCTCCTGTCTCTTGCACTTTTGGTGTCATATCTAAGAAACCATTGCTTACCCAAGATTACCAAGATTTGCTCCTATGTTTTCTTCTAAGAGTCTTACACTTCCTATGATTTGCTTTGAGATAATTTTTATATATGGTGTAAGACGAGAGTCCAACTTTATTCTTTTGCATGTGGATATCCAGTTGTCCCAGTACCATTTATTGAAAAGGTATTCTTTCTCATTGAGTATATTTTGTTTTTATTTTTACTTGTTTCTCTAGGGTACTCACTTTTTTTTTCAGGGTATGTGAACTCCTTAGCTGGCTACAGATTGTAAAGATTTTTAGATTCTTCCAGGGATGTTACTCAGCCACAGATGCACATTAGGTGGAGAACATTTATGCCATCTGGTGGACAAGGGGTTGAAGTACAACATAGTCCCTTTTGGTCAGGTTGCTCATCTGTTTGTTCCTATCATTATAACAGAGGTGGTCATTCGCACACTGAATTGATATTTTAAGAAGTGTGATTTAGGGATTCCTGGGTGGCTCAGTTGGTTGAGCACCTGACTCTTGATTTTGGCTCAGGTCACGATCCCAGGGTCGTGGGATTTAGTTCTGCATTGGGCTCTGTGCTGAGCATGGAGCCTTCTTAGGATTCTTTCACTCTCCCCCTTAGCCCTACTCTCTCTCTCTCTCTCTCTCTCTCTCTTTAAAATAAAAAAAAGAAAGAAGTGTGATTTAAAAATTTTAGTCTCTTCTTCTTTTGATCTCACTTTGTGTGCTAGGGAGATTAGTTATGTTTAGCCAAACTGTTAGATTGCAGGCAACCATTCTGATATTGCTGGTTGCCCCTTGTGGTCAGCCGGTCTGTTCCAGAAGTGTCATATTGTAACCAGCCCATCACTTCTAGGGAGTCTTTCTGGAAAATTGAGCATCAGTGAAGTCAGACTCTTACTAATTTGAGGCTTGCCTGCGCTTTATTATTTTATTGCATGAAGCCATTTGATGGAATCCCCCCCTCCATCTAATCTCCTTTATTTCCTCATTTATTTTGGAATTACCATCCAATATTTTGCTCCCGGGGAGTGATAATAGGACATACCACTGCATTCTGGAAAAGATGGATTCTTTGAGTTATTCTTCAGTTTCCAAGGGAATTGGGAAATTTAAAGGTTTGGCTTATGTGACACTGAAGGTCCTGAAAGCAACGTATTTTAATTGCATATAGGGTATCAATCAGTCACCTGTGGCTCTCTTCCTGACTACCCATCCTTCTTTTAATATTGTAAAGAATCCTTTGTTTATGCAGCCTCATTTACAGCTTTTTAGGGAAGGTAAAACAAATGAAATATGAGTTGACATTGTTGCATTGAAGCTCGATTAACACCTATCTCCCTCCTCCAAACTGTGTGAGGATGATTAGAATGCTAAATCAGGAGACACTTTTCACCAAAATAACAATTTGCCTGCCAATATTTTATGATTTTTTTCTCGTTTAAAAATTTGGACAAGTGCTCACTTCGGCAGCACACATACTAAAAATTTGGACAATAGTAGGTTATATTCAGTGCTATAATGTAGTAGTGGTGGCTACTACAATCTACAGTTGGTGTATTTCCCTCAAGTTGCTGATCTAAATAAGTGTGACTTGTGTTGAAGTTGATAGAGAAAGGCTTCACCAGATACACTGGTAGGATCACTGTGGCCAGGAGTCTGGTCTGCCTTTTACAGGTCTAAAAACTGGGTTTTGTCAGTGAACCTAATATAACCAGGTCCTTTGGCACAAACTCACACTGGTCAAACTCGCGACAGTCAGGTATGAAACCAGACACCAATTTATTAATATACAATGGGAACTCCAGCTCTTCCCGTGTATATTCATCTCTGCTGCTCATGCTTCCCTGCTCTGGGAACATGATACCTAAGAAATTAATTGAAAATTAGAATGCTGGTTGGTAAGAAGGGAATTTGAGGAAATGAAATTAGTAGTCCCAAGGGACATTTCATCAAGGCCATGAAGAAGCCCTTATATGGTTTCCTGTCCACAAACAGACTAAGGTCTCCCAGGAAATTGGATACTCTTGTCTACCAGATTCAACATTTCTCTGTCTTGGGACAGGTTGGATAACCTCTTTCAAATTCTTGGTCTTTGGCTGCTCTTTTCTGGACCACCAGCAGAATACCCCTTTCCTGTAGAGCATTTTTTCTTTACATATGTTAACAGAATGGATTGGCTGTGGCTTGCATCTTTGCTTCATCAATTGTTGCCAGTTATGAGACTATATGAGACTAGATAACTGTGGCCACATAGATGCGGCAGTTTCTCATGTCTGTTATGTTTCATGTCCCATTTCTTCAGCCGGCTTACTTCTGATCCACTACGTAAGACTTCTTAGTTGCTAGAAGCAGCTCATTAGGGCCTCTTATGTATTTAGTGTTCCTTTTACATTAAGGTCCATCTATTCATATCAATTCATGAGTCTCAAAATAATCTGAGAAACTTCAGTTATTCCTTCCCAGCCTGCTCTAACCTTTATTCATTCTTGATGGAATAGTCCATTTTGGCACATTATCTTCGCTCCCTAGTCTTTTTTCTTATTCACGGGGTTGGGTAAAGAGTAGTTCTGTTTCTTCTGTGTCCTCTGAATTTATCTACAAGCTTTCATCAGCCCAGTTGAGGGAAAACATACATCCTTTTCTACTGATTGTCTCACCCCGTGGAGTAACTCTTTTTCTCGTGGCACTTTTTAAAAGCAGTATCAGTGAAAAAAAGTAAATAGACAGCTTTCTGCCTAAGAAACAATAAAGTAGGTTATAATATCTTTGCTTTAAAATCATGGTTTAGTTTTTTTAGCTTGGGGCTTAGCACTTTCCTATTCTGAGATATCCCAGATCCATAATAATTTCCAGGTATTATAATCTCTTATTTGTCAAAGCTTAAAAATAATATATGTGCTAGTATCTTCCTTTTCATCATGTTGGGTTTTTTTCTCAGAGTTTCTCGTACTTTTTTCCTGACTTTCCTTGCTACCATATTCTCTATCACTTTTATCCATAAAATTGATTGCTTTCTATTTAGAATGTCCCGACTGAAAGTTTTCTTCCCCCTCTTTATCCTTGGTTCTGATTTGTTTTATTTCTAATTATGTAAAAATGAGCAAGAAAGGAAAAGCCACTGCTCCGTAGTTGATTAAAATATGGAAATAATTTGAAGTTTAGAGGATACGAAGTTTTATGTTTTTTCAATTATAAAAGTTAGAAAATTTAGAAAATACAAAAACTAGAAAAAGGAAAAAAAATCCATAATCTACCACCCAAAGAAATCACCATTACTATGTTTCTTTATCTTTTCTCCTATGCACGTTTATGTATTTTAAACTTGTGATCGTGCTTTGATAATAATATGATCATTACTATAAATATTTTATATTTATTTTTGAGAAACAGAGTGAGACAAAGCATGAGCGGGGGAGGGGCAGAGAGAGAAGGAGACACAGAATCTGAAGTAGGCTCCGGGCTCTGAGCAAGTGGTCAGCACAGAGCCTGATGCGGGGCTCGAACCCACAAACTGTGAGATCATGACCTGAGCCGAAGTCGGATGCTCAACCAACTGTCACCCAGGTGCCCCATAATTACTATAAATATTTTAAATAGACTTGGATCACCGCCTCAGCTTGGCTAGAAATGCATTTGTATCATTTTAAATAGATCTTTAAAGGTGTTTGGTAAATATATAGTAAACAAAATGAGTGACTCATTGTCCTTCTCTGTGCCTCAGTGTTGCCATGTCTCAAGCAGGAGAAATTAATTCACAAGAGGTTTGTGAGGATTAGTGAAAACTGTAAATGTTCGAAGCAGCTAGGTCCTGTCATAACTCTTCTGGCTATAATATCACAATTTTTTCCTAGAGAGCACTGCTGGAGAAGAAGCAGAGAAAAAAGCGCCTTGAGCCACTCATGGTACAGCCAAATCCAGAAGCAAGGCTACGTCGATCAAAGCCAAGAGGTAGCGAGGAGCAAACTCCTTTGGTGGAACCTCATACCCCACAGAATGATGTCATCCTACATGGTGTGTGTTTAGGCAGCACCTCTTCCCACTAGGGTATAGTTTTCACAAACCTAGGAGAAGGCAGGAGGATTTTCAGATGGACCAGAGGGACAATTATTAGCATCGTTACTAGGTACCTTCATAAATCTTTTAATTACATTCTGGATCTTTGAGTTAAAATAAAAGCCATAGATTAATCAGTGGAAGATACGTTGAAGTTCGTGTCCACCCTAGAACTGTTGCTTTCATTGCCAAATGAATTAGTCCAGAATGGCCTATTTGAGGAAGGGATTGTCTTGATTGTTGCATCATGACAGAGTTAACCATGAAGCCAGGAGTAGTAGAGACCATCCATTCTTCCAATAGATAGGACTCAACGGACCATGTGAGATGGTGAGCTATTGACTTGGACAGGATCTGAACTTTGGAGGACCTACTTTGTTTTCATGGTCTCGTTCTTTAGTTTCTAAAGCATACAACCAAGTACATTTTATTTAGTGACAGTCACAATGTTAATAACTTAAACACCAGTCCTGAGTTACTTTATTAACAAATATCTGTGTGAATGTTAAGGAAGGAGAAGCGAAATGGTTTGATGGTTCTTAATTCGATCACATACACCAAAACCACCAGCTGAATAATGGCTAATATTTTCCTCTTTTTTCCTTTCTTTTGGACCATAGGCATTGATGGTCCAGCTGCCTTTTTGAAGCCAGATGCTCAAGATTTGGAAACCAAACTTCATGTTCTTTCAGTAGGCTCTTCTGCTACAGAAGAGGATACCGAAGGAAGTGTTGATGGGGAAAGCACTATGGATACTGTGCCTAAGCCAGATCTCCAGGAGATTCTCCAAAAACATGGTGAGGATTGGTAATGATTATAAGGCAGTCAATCACCTTAGCCACGTATAACTTGTCCTTTCCTTTTTTTCATTGTTGGTTAACAATCTACATGATTCAAAACTGCTTGGGGGGCGAATGGGTGGCTCAGTTGGTTAAGTGTCTGACTCTTGATTTCAGCTCAGGTCATGATCCCAGGGCCATGGGATCAAGCCCCACGTTGGGCTCTGTGCTGATGGTCATCAGCCTGCTTGGGATCCTTTCTGCCCCTCCCCTGCTTATGCTCGCTCACTCTCTCTCTCAAAATAAATAAATAAACATTTTTTTAAAAAACAAAAAACAAAATTGCTTGGAATGTGGCTTCTGGCTTTACAGAGGTAATATCTGAGAACTGACCATTGTCAACCATAGTATTTTTCCTGTTGCTTGAGAAAAATAAAATAATTAAATATATATTAGAAGCATTAGCTACTATATGTGACTATTTCTTTTTGATATTTTATTTTTAAGATTTATTTTTAAAGTAGCAACAAAAATTTATTAAAAAATTTTTTTTTCATATATAATTTATTGTCAAATTGGTTTCCATGCAGCACCCAGTGTTGGTTTCCATACAACACCCAACAGGTGCCCTCCTCAATGCCCATCACCCACTTTCCCCTCTCCCCCACCCCTCATTAACCCTCAGTTTGTTCTCAGTATTTAAGAGTCTCTTATGGATTGCCTCCTTCCCTCTCTGTAACTATTTTTTCTCCCCTCCCCTCCCCTCCCCCCTCCCCCATGGTCTTCTGTTAAATTTCTCAGGATCCACATAAGAGTGAAAACATATGTTAAATCTTTCTCTGCCTGACTTATTTCACTTAGCATAATACTCTCCAGTTCCATCCACATTGCTACAAATGGCCAGATTTCATTCTTTCTCATTGCCAAGTAGTATTCCATTATATATATAAACCACATCTTCTTTATCCATTCATCAGTTGATGGACATTTAGGCTCTTTCCATAATTTGGCTATTGTTGAAAGTGCTGCTATAAACATTGGGGTACAAGTGCCCCTATGCATCAGCACTCTTGTATCCCTTGGGTAAATTCCTAGCAGTGCTATTGCCGGGTCATAGGGTAGATCTATTTTTAATTTTTTGAGGAACCTCCACATTGTTTTCCAGAATGGCTGCACCAGTTTCTATTCCCACCAACAGTACAAGAGGGTTCCCATTTCTCCACATCCTCTTCAGCATCTATAGTCTCCTGATTTGTTCATTTTAACCACTCTGATGGGTGTGAGGTGGTATCTCATTATGGTTTTGATTTGTATTTCCCTGATGAGTAGTGACGTTGAGCATCTTTTCATGAGCCCGTTGGCCATCTGGATGTCTTCTTTAGAAAAGTGTCTATTCATGTCTTCTGCCCATTTCTTCACTGGATTGTTTTTTGGGTGTGGAGTTTGGTGAGTTCTTTATAGATTTTGGATAATAACCCTTTATCTGTTATGTCATTTGCAAATATCTTTTCCCATTCCATCAGTTGCCTTTTATTTTTGTTGATTGTTTCCTTTGCATTGCAGAAGCTTTTTGTCTTGATGAGATCCCAATAGTTCATTTTTGCTTTTAATTCCCTTGCCTTTGGAGATGTGTCGAGTAAGAAATTGATGTGGCTGAGGTCACAGAGGTTTTTTCCTGCTTTCTCCTCTAGGGTTTTGATGGTTTCCTGTCTCACATTCAGGTCCTTCATCCATTTTGAGTTTATTTTTGTGTATGGTGTAAGAAAATGGTCTAGTTTCACTCTTCTGCATGTTGCTGTCAAGTTCTCCCAGCACCATTTGTTAAAGAGGCTGTCTTTTTTCCACTGGATATTCTTTCCTGCTTTGTCAAACATTAGTTGGCCATACATTTGTGGGTCCAATTCTGGAGTCTCTATTCTATTCCATTGGTCTATGTGTCTGTCTTTGTGTCAAAACCATACTGTCTTGATGATTACAGCTTTGTAGTAGAGGCTAAAGGCTGGGATTGTGATGCCTCCTGCTTTCATTTTCTTTTTCAATATTACTTTGGCTATTTGGGGTCTTTTGTGGTTCCATACAAATTTTAGGATTGCTTGTTCTAGCTTCGAGAAGAATGCCAGTGCAATTTTGATTGGGATTGCATTGAATGTGTAGATTGCTTTGGGTAGTATTGACGTTTTAACAATATTTATTCTTCCAATCCATGAGTATGGAATATTTTTCCATTTCTTTGTATCTTTTTCAATTTCCTTCATAAGCTTTCTATAGTTTTCAGCATACAGATCTTTTACATCTTTGGCTAGGTTTATTCCTAGATATTTTATGATTTCTGGTGCAATTGTGAATGGGATCAGTTTCTTTATTTGTCTTACTGTTGCTTCATTATCAGTGTATAAAAATGCAACTGATTTCTGTACATTAATTTTGTATCCTGCGACTTTGCTGAATTCATGTATCAGTTCTAGCAGACTTTTGGTGGAGTCTCTTGGGTTTTCCATGCATAGTATCATGTCATCTGCAAAAAGTGAAAGCTTGACTTCATCTTTGCCAATTTTGATGCCTTTGATTTCATTTTGTTGTCTGATTGCTGATGCTAGAACTTCCAACACTATGTTAAACAACAGCGGTGAGAGTGGACAATCCCTGTCGTGTTCCTGATTTCAGGGGGAAAGCTCTCAGTTTTTCCCCATTGAGGATGATATTAGCTGTGGGCTTTTCATAAATGGCTTTTATGATGTTTAAGTATGTTCCTTCTATCCTGACTTTCTTGAGGGTCTTTATTAAGAAAGGATGCTGTATTTTGTTAAATGCTTTTTCTGTATCAATTGACAGGATCATATGGTTCTTTTGTTTTATTCATGTGATGTATCACATTGATTTGCGAATGTTGAACCAGCCCTGCAGCCCAGGAATGAATCCCATTTGATCACTAGTTATGGGTCTGTTCAAGCTTTCTATTTCCTCCTGATTGAGTTTTGGAAGTGTGGAATTTTTTTTCGTTTATTTATTTTTGAGAGACAGAGTGTGAGCGGGGGAGGGGCAGAGAGAGAGGGAGACACAGAATCTGAAGCAGGCTTCAGGCTCTGAGCTGTCAGCACAGAGCCCTACACAGGGCTTGAACTCACAAACCGTAGGATCATGACCTGAGCTGAAGTCGGACGCTTAACCAACTGAGCCACCCAGGTGCCCCTTTTAAATTTTTTTTTAATATTTATTTTTGAAAGAGAGAGACAGAATATGAGTGGGAGAGGGGCAGACACACACACACACACACACACACACACACACACACACACAGAATCCAAAGCAGGATCAAGGCTCTGAGCTGTCAACACAGAGCCGGATGCAGGACTTGAGCCCACGAACTGCAAGATCATGACCTGAGCTGAAGCTGGACACTTAGCCAGCTGAGCCACCCAGGCTCCCTTTAAGATATTATTTTTAAGTAATCTCTACACCCAGTGTTGGGCTCGAACTCACAACCCCGAGATCAAGAATTGCATGCTCTACTGACTGAGCCAGCCAGGCAACATGACGTTTTATTTGTAGTTCCCACTCCCTTCTTTTGACAAAGTTGCCACTCAGCACCCCTACTTGGCCTCCATTTCAGTTTATATTGATCTAGTGATAAGGGAAAAAAACAAGTAACAGCTGAGCAGAAATACAAATTGTATCAAAATATCCTTAAGCTAATACTTTACTAGAGCTAATACTTTTACTAGAGGCTACTTTCTGCTAGTTGGAGTTATCATTTCCATGGATATTCCCATACATTTTGGAGATCTCTTGTAGTTTATTTTCCTTCTTAGAAAAATAATTTTATAGTGGAAGGAATTAAGTGTCCTTTTTTTCTGCTAAGAAGACTGAAATCGGTATGAATACATGTTTATCAGGTCCCTACTTTGTAATAGATGGACATCGTAGGTCCTGGGATGTGTGAAGCAGGAGATTCTATCACACAGTAGTAGAACAGATGTACACGCAAACAAATTCACATACTCATCTAAGAAACATGTATTGAGTATATACTATATATTAGGCATTGTTCTAGACACTTGGGCTACAATAGTAAACAAGGTTCCTGTCCTCCTGAAGTGTGTATTCTAATTGAGGCATCATGTACATAAATAGCCAACGGAGCATTGAGAGGGGTACCTAACCCAGAGCTGAAGGTTTGGAAAGCTTCCCAGAGAAAATGATGTCCAAGCTAGAGCATGATGCAGGAAGAGGTACTGGCCAGTTCAGAATGGCTAGAGCAGAGTATGAGGGGATAAGATGTGGGCAGAGGGATTAGAGAGGTGAGCCTGGAGGACGGGTAAGTGGGCTCTGATCATATAGACCAGACTTATGTTCATATAAGCTGAGTTCTTTCTATAAAAATGGAATTTGCAAACATAGTACTAACGGAAGACATCCATATGATGGTGAGATCTGAAGAGTTTTACGCCTTTTTGCTACAAAAGAGAAAAAGGGTTAACATTTTAGAAAACAAAAGAAAAAATCCCCTTCACAAACTGAAGAATTTTTTAAATAATAGCCTTATTGAGATATACTTAACATGCCATACTATTGACCCATTTAAAGTGAACAGTGGGTATGGAGGGGGAAGATGGCAGTGGATTTGGAGTACCTTAGGCTCACTTCGCCCTTTGAACACAACTAGATAACTATGAAATCATCCTGAATACTTCAGAAATGGACCTGAAGACTGGCAGAACATACTTCACAACTAAAGGTAGAGAAGAGGCCATATTGAAGAAGTTAGGAAGTATGGAGATAAAGTTTGGGAAGGAAATGAATCATGGCTGCTACAGTGGGGAGGGAGCTGCAGTTGCAGAGAAGGGTGAGAGACAGACTAACACAGAGGGAAGCGCATGGAGAAAATAAATCCCCATAGTGATTGATTTAGAAAGTGAGAGGGGCTGAATTGCGTGTTTTTGCAACCAGTGGGGCTTAAAGCCTAGAGTTCTAAATGTCAGCGGGCTTGGCTCAGGGAGAGCCCAGAGGGCACTGCACTG